GGATATGCACAACACGGCGAAGGCGAATTGGGAGCCATTTTAACCGATTTTAAACTTACGGAGACCGAAAATAAATCGGATAGTTAAGTTTTATAGGCGCTCTAGTTTATTCATAAACTCTTCGGTCACATCTAAATAACAAACGTCGGCATAGTCGAGTAAGGGGAGTAGAAGAGTTTGCGCAACCATAATTTTGGTATGAGAAGGAAGAAAGTATTGGAGTCGTTTGAGAGAGTGAAATGAGAAGTGCATTCGTCTGCTAACCTCGTTGACATGAGAAGTCCAAGACAATGTGCAATTCATTACTAGACCTAGATTTTTTGCTTTGTCAGTATATGCAATGGGAGTTCCATCATATACCAACGCAGGTATCGATGACCAATCCAACTTGCACCTTAATCTGCTACTGCCTGCGAACATGGCTTCAGACTTAGCGGGATTAACTAAAAGGCCAAACGATTTAGCCCATAACTTTTGATTTTGCGATTGGGTAGAAACAATTTCGAAAAGGAAGGCACGAGGAGGATTCAACTTGGCTGGGCAGCGTTTGGTAAACTACGTCGAGTCTTCTCATCACCCATACCGCAAAGTTTGAAAACAAAGGTTTTTAGTCAGTGCGTTCTACCTGTTATGACATACGGACCCAAGACGTGGACACTCACTATACGGTTAGTTTACCAGTTGAAAGTCGCTCAGCGAGCTGTGGAGCGAGCTAAGCTCGGAGTTTCTTTGAAGAACAAGGTACGAAACGAGGTTATCCGATAGAGAACTAAGGTCGTCGACATAGCTGGTAGAATAAGCAAGCTGAAGTGGCAGTGGACTGGCCATATCTATCGAAGAACCGATAACCGCTGGAGGAAGCGGGTTCATGAGTGGAGACCACGGCTCGGAAAACGTAGTGCAGGACGCCCTGTGGCCAGATGGAGTGACGATTTGCGAAGGGCTGCTGGCAGTAGACAGATGCAACGAACTGAGGACCGGGCGAAATGGCGCGCATTGGGAGAGACCTATGTCCAGCTGTGGACTACGATAGGCTGATGATGACTACTGAAGTACCCTTTTTCCAAAAAAAAAGAATCGTCCAAATCGGTTCACAAATACCATACTGCCAAATGGCCGGAGTTATCGTAAAATACATACAAAAAAAAATACAGATGAATTGAGGACCTCCTCCTTTTTTTTGAAGTCGGTTAAAATACAATTTTTGTTATCAGATACCAACATCGTAAGATAACATCAAAAACATTGCGTGACAATGTTTGAACAAAATCGATTAAAAGTGTTTCAAACAACGTAAGTTGAGCATCTACTGTTTTTTCCGCAATCTTCTGTTTTTTCGTTGCAATATCTTCCGATTTTTTCAGATTTGACCTGGCAACACTGGTTATCTGTCAGGTTAGTCGCCCCATCCAACCGAGGACACGGCATGTTTCGTTAGCTGACTCATGCCTCCTTCTCGCATTCATTGAACAGTAAATTACGGCACTTCGTTTTCTCCCTCATCGTCAACCGTCTGTATTGTCAATGTGCGTGTTACACACTTTTCGTTCAAGTGTGAATCTTATGTCACTCGGAAAAAACATGGCGTGACTGGTCTAAAATTCGTCATTCGTTTGGTTTGTATTGTATTGTACTGTGCTCATCGCGGCGGATTTCTACAACTACGATACGGCTAAGTCTTATTTTGTTTAATATTTTAAATTTTACTAACACTTTTTTTCTGGAATGGTGCCGTGAAGAAACTAAATCAAATTTTTTTGAGATTTGATGCCTCAGATGTTAGGGAAAGTAACCCTATCAGCCTTAAACATTTTGTACACGATATTAAGACCATTAAACATTTATGGATTGATTTGTCTAAATTGGAAGGAGTGAAATTCTTAAATCTGAGACGTTTAAATCAAGATCCACAAAATTTTTTTGGGCAGATTAGAGCTCATGGTGGTTTCAATACTAATCCGGATTGCACCCATTTTGTCTCAACCTAGAAAACGTTGTTGATCAATAACATCTCATCTGAAAAATCATTATACACAAACTGCACCACTGATGATGACGTAATGTTAGAAACTTGACTAATTTGGTACAACGTAATAGACAGTCAGTCTCTAAAAATATCGATTATGAGGTAATTGTGATTAATTGTGAATTAATAGACACTATCCCACAAGGAAATGTTATGCAAACAAATACTGTGTCGTACATGGCTGGTGCAATTTGTCGCTGCCTGTTGCCTAAATTGCAGTGTGTTGACTGCGACCTCTGTAACGATTCATTATTGTCTACAGATATACAACCGTTTCACACGTTAATTGCTAATGGAGAATATAATTTAGAAAAACAAGCACTCTATTATCCATCAAAAAATTATAGTTCATTAGTATGGGAGAGTGTTTACTTAATCGATAAATTTTTGCCTTAGATTTGCTATGTTTACGTTTACCCAAAATTACTCTCAATTTTACAGAAAAATACTAATACCATTTGGTTTACTTGCTCGCGACACAAGAAAGATTTTTTGACTGCTTTTTTCTTTACCTACGTTATAAAAATGCAGGGAAGACAATGGTGCATCAATTTTAATAGAAGAATACACAATGTTGATTCCAGACCAAAGGCAGCAGAAACGGAAAACTTGATGCAAAGTAAAGTCACCAAAGGTTTAAGTTATAGATCAACTAGGTTATGCAGTTCTTAATTGCTATTTAATTATTTTTATATTTGTTGTTTATTTTATCGTTATCAAGTTTGCCATTTCGTTGATTATACTATTTGATTTTGTTATGTCAAGATTATCGTTACACTCAATGACAAATGTTTTCACTCGATGCAAAACAACTTTTTTATTTTATGTATTTGTTAGACTTTGAATAGCAATTCTTTTAGATCTATGTAGAATGTTAGCAGTTCTATTGTGGCTGCCCATAACATCTTTAGAGTTTTCTTTGTATACTCTATACGTTTATGTTGATTGTTGTGATTAGTACTATTTAATTATAATCGTTATAAGCTTGATTCACATAATTTATTGATTTTTCATTCAAATGATTTGTAAGTTTATATAAGTTAAGGCTAAGTCTATATTGTATATTAGACCTAACTTTAAAGAATAAAAATTGTAAATATGTATAGAATCACAAAGTAAGTATGTCGTTTTTAATGTTCTCTTACATAAATGATAGCCAGGCAAACGTACTAGACTTCACTTTAGACTAAAGATTATGAATATGTATAGAATCGCATACTAAGTAGGTACTTTTTAATGTTCTCTTGTTCTCTTGTATTGATGCTAGCTAGGCAAACACACAAGACCTGAATTTCAAGTCTAAATTATAAATATGTATAGAATGGTTATTGAGTTACAAAGTGCGAAGTAAGTTTTAAACGTCCTCTTATTCTCTTGTATAAATGATAGCCAGGCAAACATACTAGACCTCACTTTAAAGACTAATAATAGTAAATATGCATAAAATGACATAGTAGATAGTTTAGAAAATTGTCTTATTGTCTATTAATGATAGCTAGGCAAACATACAAGATCAGACTTTCAAGTCTAATTTGTAAATATGTACAGAGTAGTTACTAAATCACAAAATACGGAGGTAATTTTTAACGTCCTCTTATTCATTTATACATATAAATGATAGCCGGGCAAACTTTCTGGATCTGATTTTAAAGTCTAAATTTTAACTGTGTATAGAACAGTTATTAAGTTTCAAAGTAAGTAGGTAGTTTTTAATGTCCTCTTATTCTCTTGTATTAATAATAGCTTGGCAAATATACAAGACCAGATTTTCCAAGTCAATTATGTGTCGAATAGTTATTCTGGGTGGGTTGGTAGTTTTTGGTGTTCTTTTATTCTCTTGTGCGTTTCATATTCCGACCAACATACTAGACCTTAATCCAAAGTCCAAGCAATTATTAAATTATTATTAAATTATTTATATGTATATACGTATAAACACTTCTGGTATACTTTGTGCTATTGCTGTTGGGTAAGAGTAGTATTCCATATTATATGCGGGCGGAGCGATGTCCAAGTAGTGGTTGAGTCACACGGAACAGCGCGAAATTGTACATTATCTTATCAGCAGAGGGGCCATTAGCTTAGTTAGATATACAAATTGTTTCTACTAAATATAAAGATTGTTATTTAAGTTAGGTATAAGATATATTGTATGCAAGATTATGGTTGACTGGTAGAGAATGCTTTTAGCATTAAGTCCGCTTTTTGTAGATACCATTATTGTCTTGTGGTCAATGAAGATTAATAAATAAATAAAATAAATATAGTAATCAATATGCAGACAGAGCTACTAGAGTACTGTTAAAACCTGTTGGATTAAATAATACCTATTTTATTCATTTTAATCCCCATTCTTATAAATTTCTCAAGAACCTGTACGTACAATACATAAACCGAAAAATATTCTATAGCTATAGTTAGCGAAAAATATCGTATAGCACAACCCTAACACCGGTTTTATCCATTAGAGGACTTCCCTGTTTTATTCCAATTTAACTATTATAAACATACGAAAGGTGTAAAAGAAACAACAAAGTGCCCAATGATCAAATTCTGAAGTGTAAATGAAATATTATAATTATAAATTTATCAATGAATACATATTATAGCACACTCCGCGTAGCCTCATACTTGTATTAGTAGTTTGTGCCTCATACCTTACTACTGTGACATTTATCTGATAGGCAATTGGTGGTCTGTCTAGTGTTAGTGGTTTGAGGTCAGAGTTGTCTATGGTCAGAGTCAGCTCTAGTTTGTGGTCAGCTCCTCTTCCCGGGTTATCATTGTGTGGTAAGAATTATTAAATTTCTTTTCTATTGTATCCGTAATGTACAACGATGCAATTCGTTCAACATATCTAATAAAAATTGCACGTTTTGACAGAAACTGGAATTAAAAATGACGCAAACAGTAAGTGCTCTATTGTTACTTGTTTATCCATTTTGCAAACCCGGCTTATGTGATGGAAACGTTACTTGGCATTCAGTTTTATTAATATTTTGGGTACCTATCTATTTTAGATTGTCATCTTTTCTATGGCCTAAAAGACAAATTTGTAAAAAATTTGTAAAGTTCAAAATTGTGTAAATTTTAATGAAAGTGGCGGTATTCTACGGACTATATACATTTATTACTAATTTGGGTACCTATCTATTTTATCATGTCGGACAGTTGAAAATGTAAGTTCTACGTATAGAATTCTTATTTAAGTTATAATTCTCTACTTGCTTAAAGTATTCAAGGTCACTCGCTGATAATGTTGTAGGTTATTATAATTAAACATTTGGTTAAAATGTAAGCCACCTGTAAGTATTATGGCGCATTTACACTAGGCCGTCATGTCGCCTTCGCTTTCATACCAAAGGCGGAAACATATCCTACGTAAACACTGAGTCGTTATTTGACTGTAGTTCACCCCTGAAGACGACTGAGTCAACAAAGCTTAAACAGTGAAAAGGTGAAGACAGCCGTTGACTCTTTGAAGTTGTGACAAATAAATAATTATCCAAAATTACTTTTCTCCACATGCAGCAAACAAACAACATAAATTAATACTAATACAGGTTGTTACCCATGTAACAAGTTGAATAGATCTATAGGTCAGGTACTGGGGCCTATAAGATGCCTCTATAGGATAGCCTTTGCTTATTTTTGTTTTTGCTAAATAACTCTGTAAGCTTTGTTTTTTAATGGTACAATTTTGTACACTCCAGGTACTAAGATACTGTGTTCAAGTTTTTGTAGTAATGTGGTTATATCTTTATGATATAACCACATTACTATATAACATAATTTTGTACTTTTGAAACACACATATATGTGGCTTAATGTACCCATATACTTCTTACACCTACTGCCTGATTGAAAGCTTTGTGAGGATGCATGACATTTATGAATCTAGGAAATGAAACTATTTTTCCGGATTTAAATATATATTTGTTTTTCCAAACAAATCGACGTTTCGGGCCCTTTACAGGTCTCATGGTCACAGTCAACCATGAAACAAATATACGCGATTTAAATCCGGAAAAATAGTTTCATTTCCTATGTGTAACAATCGCGACAACCTAAGAACTCGATATTTATGAATCTCCATAATTTATTGTTTAAAAATCTTATGATCTAAACATGAATTCTCTTGAAATATTTGTTTCTCACTACCTATGTGAATTGTTGGTATTGGTGGCGGTATTAACAATAGTGTGCCTGATAATCCCACTATATTCTAAGTTTAAAGAGTACTGGACAAAATGGCCAGAATTAATTTAGAAAAGTGCATTTCCTAAGTAATAGTCTTAGGTTCAACTCACACTGGCACACAGTGGCCCCAAATTGATAATTCTTGGACATAGGAATAACTTGTGGAGTACCCAGCTAATTTTTTTTATGTGATAGATAATAACATTTCTAACAACTTCTACTCTTGTAGAATTTCTTGAAAAATTGGTAGTTTCTGAGAATTTTTTTTTTGTATGGAGAAATATACATTTTATTTTTATCTCAAAATATACGAACATGTAATGTGCGTGGGTTACTTACAGTATAGTTCCAATAATTTTCTATGTAGAAAAAAATAATCCGTCTGCATGTACTTGCGGTTTTATAAATAAAGGTGCGGCAAAATTGCTAACTCTTTTATGTACTTTTTTAAGAAAATACATGAGCTTCGACTAAAGAAAAATTAATTTTAGTGTAATCTAGAGAGTTATAACAATAACACGAAAGTTAAGTAGAAACTAGTATATTGTGTTCAAAAATAAATGACAAATCTAAAATTTTGACACCTTTTTACTCGCAAATCCGCAAGTACCTGCAGATGGATTCTTTTTTTCTTGATAGAGAATGATTGGACCTAAACTGTAAATAAACCACACACATTACATTTTCCTAAGTTAAGAGATAAAAAAGAAAATGTATATTTCTCCATACAAAAAAAAAATTCTCTGAAACTATCAACTTTTCAAGAAATTATAAAAGAATAAAAGTTGTTAGAAACGTTATTATCTATCATATTAAAAAAATATTTCGATACTCCTCAAGTTATTCCTATGTCCAAGGATTATTAATTTAGGACCACTGTGTGGCGCAGAGTCGAAGCGTCGCGAAATAAGGAATCGAGAGTCGACGCGCGACGACACACGCCGATGCAATTTGTTGCAATCGAGCGATTTCGCCGGTCGACGCGCGTCGCCAGGCAGTGTAGTTGAGAAACAGGAAGCGACGCGACGCTTCGACTCTGCGCCGGTGTGAGTTAACCCTTAGTGCAAACTGGGACTTCATCATGAAGCGGTCATTATGCTAATACCTGGTCCATCGAGGTTATCAGAATAATTTATTTATCTTGTGTTGATATCTTTCTGGTTGTGAGCTATACAAAATGGTGATGGGTAATATGTATTTAAATTGTACTTAAGCAATTTTTAATTATATTTGACATCTGTATTGAGACTATATTGTGTCATGTTAAGATTCTCAAGTACGAAGCACTTACAAATGTAAATTTATAATCTTCAGGCCAAAATGGACAACTTGGAACTAGTGTCATCGAATAAGATATTTGGAGGGTACCAGAAAGTGTATGCACATGAATCCACGGAGTTGGTTTGCAAGATGAATTTCTCCATCTACCTTCCTCCACAAGCTGACGGTGGGGATGTGAAATTGCCCGTCTTGTTCTATCTCTCTGGTCTTACATGCAATGAACAGAATTTTATCACAAAATCTGGGTTTCAAAGGTATGTTAACAATCAATGACATATCAGGCGATACATCGTTTGTTGTGGTTGTACCAGTACACATTCTTCCATTAAACCTTTTTTTTCGCTTTTAGCTGCCATCTCATTGTTCACACTTTCATATGTAAGAATTTCATCTTTCACACAATCCATCACTCTTTAATTTGATATTCTTCCTCATCCCCATTCATGTTTAACCTTTTACAGAGTGAAGGGTGAAGAACCTAATTATTATTAATTTCAAATTAGTTCGTTAAAATGTTTCTTTTTTGTCAGGTGTCAATATTAAAACTGAGTCAACGTTAGGCTGCTTCTACTTAGATAAAAAATACATTTTTATTAAAGCTTCAGAGAACAAATATGCAACTTGTGTTTTGTTATGTCAATGCATGTTATCATATTATGGTTAAAAGGTCTAAAGGTCTTGGCATAACGTTATCAGTTTCATGGCCTAGCATGACATTGATAGGAGATGGCAATTTCTTTTGTACTCAAGGTACTTATTGTAACTACTAGGTATCTACCTACATAAAGGTCGCGTTACAAAATGTTGGTGTGGTTGCGGTGGTGCCTGCACTAAATCAAATATTTATAGAGGTTGCGAAACTGTTTTCATGACTATAGTCACCTCTACAAAATTCTGGAGTCCATTGCCTTAATAATTAAGATTGTTCATGACTACAGTCACCTCTTCAAAATATTGAATCCACAGCCTTAATTATTAAGATTGTTCATGACTACAGTCACCTCTTCAAAATTATTGAGTCCACAGCCTTAATTATTAAGATTGTTCATGACTACAGTCACCCATTTAAAATTCTGGAGTCCAAATCCTTAATTATTAAGATTATTCATGACTAAAGCCACCTCTTCAAAATTATTGAGCCTACAGCCTTAATTATTAAGATTGTTCATTAATACAGTCACCTCTTCAAAATGATTGAGTCCACAGCTTTAATTATTAAGATTGTTCATGACTACAGTCACCTATTCAAAATTCTTGAGCCCACAGCCTTAAGTATGATTGCCTTTTGCATTGATATCATTCCATGTGACACTCGAATACCGGACTCGTTACGTGTCGTACATATTTTTCCTCGTAATTACAAATAACCCAGGCTTGAAAATGATTGAATTTAGATATCACGATTTTAAACTTCAAAAAAAAATTACTGAATAACCATTAAGATTATATTCTCGTTTATAAGTGGATAACTAATCATTACGTATAAATAAAAATAATCCCATTTACACATTTAATTACACGAGGAAAAAGTCTTCGCGCGGTAAGGGTGCTGGTTAAATTACAGGCACATGGAAATTATAATTATTAATACAAAGACCGAACACTTAGGAAAATTCCTTCGATCCAGCCGGATTCGAACCGACATCTTCTAGCAAACTGTGCCAGATGCTATGCCAACTAAGCTACGGAACGAACCAGAGAACTTCACGAATTTTTTTGTATGTGCTTATTTTGTCGGATCTTTTTAAATGGTTTTTTCAACGACTTTTTAGCCGTAGCGTCATATATGAGAAATCTATGAAAGTATTTCGTCACCCAGTTAGGTAACTTTACAGCTACCAGACCTGGCTGGAGATGTCGCTATTAACTATACTTAATATTTTTGAACTCGAAGACCCCTATTGCGAAATTCACTATCATGATTTTGCTCTTGAACTTTTTAAAAGCTAAACATGAAACTAATTTCATTTATTGATATGTATATCATCAGAATATTTTATAAACCTATGAGTATTTTTTAAAAGAAATCTCTATGAGCTTGTACTACAATTTTTTCCAGATACGCAGCAGAACACGGTATCATAGTAGTTGGCCCTGACACGTCTCCTCGAGGCGTAAAACTTCCTGGTGACGACGAATCTTGGGATTTCGGAGTATCAGCTGGCTTCTACCTGGATGCCACTAAAGACCCATGGTCTAAACACTACAGGATGGGAAGCTATCTGAACAAGGAACTTTATGAGTTGATTATCACTTCTTTCAGCAATGTCGTGGACCCTGACAGAATCGGTGTCATGGGTCACAGGTAAAGTTATTTGAAATATTTAAGGGTTACGTTTTTATATTAAAAAACAAATCTGGAAGCCTATAATGATGTTTTATAAACACATACTTTGGTGCTCCGTGAACCTGAAGAGTTCTATTTCCGGACGGATCAGGTTTACCTTTAATTAAAAAACTCTAAACTAAACTTAATATGAGGTCTGTCTAAGATACCGTAATAGCCTTAAGAACCATCCGAATGAATTTGCAAAACAGTTGACAATCTGCAGTTACAGCAAAAGGCCCAAAAGAAAAGAAATACTCCCGTTGGAGTAATGTAGTGTGCGCACAGTTAAAGGAACTCCCGTTGGAGAGTTCGCCTGCGTTGACATAACTGATTATAGATTACATTACACATAGATTACCTACAGCATATTTGGTAATAGTGGCACTAATTGCAAATGATTCACTACAAAAAAAATTAGGTCTGTGACTCGCGAAAACCCAATACGAACTGCCTGGCATGCATATCCAGTCATATATGTCCGGCTGCATGCGATTTCGGTTTATTTTCGGTTTCGGTATTGCATTGACACAGATCGATGTCTTACTTTCTCAAAATCGTATCTTATAAAGAGTGATTATTCAGGAGATGGCAAAACTTTCTATTTATTTTAATTTTCTTGTCAAGGGTGTTCATTTGGATGCGTTACTTTAAGAATAGGTTTATGCTAGTGTGTGAATATTAAGGGAATGTGATGTGAAATCAGGCTGCAAGATTTGTATATATAATTCATTTTTTGCATTTCAGTAACTTTATGCTTTAAGATAAGAGTTTGAGAAAGGCGACGAAATGCAATGGAACTTCGCAATTTTATTTTGTATTTTCGAATATAACAGTCCCTTTGGGTTGTGGCATAAAGTAACGCCTGAAGTTATAAAAATGAATTTGAATCTTGTGTAAATATTCTCGTTACAAAGTTAACATTTATGATTATAACGTGTCTTGTAATAACTAAAGACCCGCACTATAGTTCAAATTCAGCTTAAGCGCATAAGAAAACTTGAAACATGGAGATATTAGCGAGAGCTTGGAATGTCATATGTATTTGTGTGTTTACAGAAGAATTGTGTGTATTTGTGGTTTTTATGCGAAAGATACACCGCTCATCATTTAGTGTCCAAATCAAGTCCGTGTATATGTCGTGGCAACCAAGTTTGCGTGATTTATGGGAATCTACTGTCCATAGATAACAGAAATTAATGTTTACTGTACAAAAATGATAGTTGTAACCATTGAAATAACAAAGTTAAAACGTTAAATCCCTCTCCTGTAAAAATTTGGTTTGTGCAGATACGCGCCTTTTACCAATGCTACATACGAGGATTTGCACTATCCCCGACGATATGTAATTCCGAGCACTCGCTAATATCACTATGGAAGCTCTTCGCATAGAGGTCTCGTGAGTCGACAAATTTTATAACTGAAAGTACATCGATTAATCGACGCATTATCACAACTTTAATAATATTCGATTTCAGTATGGGAGGTCACGGCGCTCTCATCTCAACGTTAAGAAACCCTGGACTATACAAGTCGGTGAGCGCATTTGCGCCCATCTGCAACCCGATTAACTGTCAGTGGGGCATTAAGGCGTTTACTGGGTATCTGGGAGAAGACAGGTCTAAATGGGCCGACTGGGATGCCTCCGAGCTGGTTAAGAAATACGACGGCCCTCCACTTACTTTGCTTATTGACCAGGTAACTCATATGTAACTGAAACTACATGCTTACTATTAAAACATCATTAAAACTATCCATTTTAGTTCTGCGACGTTTAAAGAATTTAAATGAAAGGGAAAAAACGTGATTAGGTCCCAATCTGAACAAAATTGTTCAATGTTCCAATACTAATAAAACCTGTGTGTATGGGAAGCGGTAAATTGTTTATCCGAATTTTCGTCCGAATGAAAACTAAAAACAAAACGTAGGCTAAATTTGAAAACCTCGTAAGCCCATTTTTGGACGAAGTCAGTGAATTACCATCTATTTGCAAGTTTTATTGAAATCTAACTGCCTCTGTGGCCGAACGGTTAGCATGCTGAGATCCCAGGTTGGATTCCCGGGCTGGAAGAAATTTTTGTATGGCCTATATTTATTTCTCTCGTGAGTTAGGGTGTTATTTGTGGTTGTCTATGTGTCCATGGCACCCGCGACACAGGGTTTCCCTAGTGCGGGGCTTTGTTGAGTGTGTGCGTTATTATTGTTATAATTCCACGAAGTTTCGAGGTCGGTTTTTTTTGTACTCTGTACTGTATTATGACGCAATTGATGCTTCAATAAGTTATCACGGCACCACTGGGGAGCTGCGACAAGTCTCTGTGTACGTATTAGGCCACAAACATACAACTCAGTGAGTAGGTACTTTTGGTATAATAAAGCTATTATGTGATCATACATCAAAAGTGCTTTTATGCCATAAATTTAGTATAAAGTTAAGTTTTATAACTCCCCTATGTAAACTACAAAAAGTTATCGACTAATTTTGTTTGTAGTCTTTTTGTAGATGTGGTCTTACTGCACCAAGTTTGCGAGTTATATAACAACTCGCGAACTTGGTACATGCATATTTCCTATAAAAGAAACCTACATGATCATTTTCCATGTCTACTTCAATACAGTAATGTGGAGTGTTGCATATCCAATCAGATACAGAGATCCCTTTGCTTTTGTTAATACTACATATTCATATTTTTTATAAAAGGAACCTACTTCATCAAGTCTACTCGTGTACCTATCAATCGGATACCTTTTGATTTTTATTAATACTACATATTCATATTTTTTATAAAGGGAATCGACTTCATGAAGTCTACTTGTGTATCCACTCATATACATAGATCGTTTGGTTTTTATTAATGCTACATAAATTCACATATTTTATAAAAGTAACCAACTTCATCAAGTTTACTTGTGTATCCAATCAGATACATAGATGCTTTGGTTTTTATTAATGCTACATTAGACTGTGAATGTAGTAAGTTTTAAATATCGAATTCCAGGGCGCTAGCGACAAATTCTACGTTGAAAAGCAGCTCCTACCCGAAAACTTGGTGGAGGCATGCCGCTCGGTTGGAGTTCCAGTCATTTTGAACCTCAGAGATGGATATGATCATTCCTACTATTACATCTCCACGTACATTGGAGAACATTTCAGTTTCCACGCAAAGATACTCAAAGCTTAAGCTTGTAAAGTAACAAAATAAGAACAATTAAGGTGTATTTAAAATGTATTTTGTAATAATTTTTGTATATAATACAGTTGTTGGTTTTAAAAATGTCTTTTTAATTCCACTTAATTTAAAAAATATTAACTACTAGCCTAGAAACAAGTTATATACTACTCAGCCATCCGAATACTGGACAGTTGTGGACTGGACTGATTGCGACATAAACAAGGGGCTTAGTCATGAAATTGAAATCCAGTATGAAGTTCAGAGCATTTCTGAAACATAGTCCCTGAATATCGAGTTCCAACGCAGTACTAGTACTGTAACCATGGGATGTTTAACGAGAACAGCTGAAAACCCGAGTGCGTTCTCTGTTTTCGTTGAAATCATTATCCGAATATTACCTTCGTTAAGTCAACATACGTCCAAGTGTTGGGCCGTTCACTGTACGTGTGCCATTAGTATGTACATGAATAGTAGCAAATAACAACAATAAAATAGCGTATTTTTTATATAAGTACAGATCTGTTTAACAGGTTCCATTTGGATTAAACCTCCAAGCAAAGAGAGATCAATCAACACAGTCAAAAGAAAACAATTTCAAACCGCATAATTTGTATGTAACTCTCAATAAATGGTAAAAGTTACAACATATTTTAATATAACTAAAATTTACATTATAACAATGCTTGCCATTATATCACGTCTCACGTGCTTCTTTCAAGACCATACTTCGGAATAGTCTCATGGAGGTCATTTTAAATTTACTATCTGTCTGTCGTATTTTTCCGTAACGTATGGTAATATTGGAGGAATTTGTCTCTGTTACCCCAAATATGGGTACCTCCCCAATGACACCAGGCCCTGGAAAAGAAAAATGATTTATTTATTCTCATGACATCGCCGGTGTTTGGTACAAAGCGCGTACGTGACATTTCGTAGATTAATCAGGGGAGCATGTTTTAGGTTTTAACGACTTTTAAAATATTTATATTATGTTTTAAAACTTATTTTGGTTTTAATTATGTAAGTTTTTGTTTTAAAATTGAATTTAAAACTGGATGTAAATATTTTAAAATAGTCTTTAGAACCTAAAACATGCTCCCCTGAAAAATTTACGATATGTCGCTGACGTCCATTCCACAAAATGCCTACGATATATAATTGCAAGCAGTGCGATTCCGCGGCGCTTGTATAGTAGTGATGCAACAGACCTCTGCTTCTGCTTCCGCAACTTTTATAATTTTTTAGTTTTTGTTTTTTAGTTTCAGATTGATGGGGCGCGTGTTTTTTTGGATATTTGTGTTACGTGCTATTAAGAAACGAAAAACAAATACTGTTTGGATCTTTTTCGCTATTTAGAGTATTTCCAGTTTCGCATCCGTTTCTGCTAAGATTTACTTGAGATATCTGTTTCCGTTATAACACTTCCGTTGCATCACTAGTACATAGTTTTCCGTGTACAGCACGTCCCCTAAGGAGACGATGTAGGTACGCTTTTCTAAGGGTCCAAACCGAATTATCGTACACAGTAAGCGCACTCAAAGCGGTGAGTTGGATACGCCTTTCAAGCTATTGTATAAGCCATTTTGAAAACTGTACTTAGTACATCCATTAGGGGATGAATTAGGTACGGCTTTTCGTAAGAAAGCGACATATCCCTGGTTCGAAATATGTTGAGCAAAAATTCGAAATTAAGTACGCGAGTTATCCGTTTGTATAGTTTATATGTCCGAGTTTCACGGTTCTACTTACATGCCAAAGAGGGCGCCACCAAGATGAGCAGCATGGTCAAAGAATTTCCAGCCAAATATTACGCCAGCCAAATCAATACTCATTATGACTTTTATGGCCTGAAACAAAAAATGAAAATCTTGTAAAATTAAAAATGTACACAGTTTTGTGGCAACTAAAAAAAAAAAATAAAAAATATTTTTATTTATTAATATATATATGTATTAGAAATTAGAAACTGTAGCGGTCGCCTTTGTAAATATAGAGGTATATCTGTTCACATTTTAATTTACAATCGTTATTTATAGACACAAATAATAATAATAATTAAAAAAAAATATCTTTTAGGCCTTGGAAGAGGCGATTCTAAAATAGATAGAATAATAATAAGTGTGGGGTGTGTATAGCATTTCTTCGGTCCGTAAGTGTGGTTCAAACCAGCTAACAAGCTGAGGAAAATAAAGTAAATAATAATGATTTATTTAGCAAGGCTTTAGAAAATAACTTAATTAAAATTAAACAAGGTGCAAAATATTAGGCTGTAGAATTAATTCTAAAGTAAATGGCCACTAACTTCCCGTACTAGAAAAAATCTGTCTGTGTTTATAAAGACATTAAATAGAAGGAATAAAGAATTAAAGGTACATTTCAAACGATTTTTGTTATATAAGTTAGTGGAACCTGTACGTATTTACAAAAATCTGAATGCTACACTAATATCACAATATCAAGATCCAAATACGTCATCTTATGACACCTATATTTATAAATTTGTAGCACCATATGTACAAATTTATAAATAAGTATGGTTTTCATAGAAATTTATGCAGTAAAATGTACTTACCGAGCCGGCGGCGAACGTATACATAGGCAAAAAGATAATGCTCAGCTTGGTATCAGGAAATTGCAGGCATACATAGGATAGCACCGACATTATTGCTCCTGACTGTAAGAATATGACAAATATATTACTTAATAATATAAAAATAATCGGTTTATTGAATATCACTATTATTTTTTGTAAAATTACTCCACTATAAAAAAATAGAAGTAGTTTGGCATAATTATTAGTACAAAGATCGAACACTAAGAAATATTCCTTTGATCCGGCTAGTTTTGAACCAACGCCTTCAGCATACCGTCACTGACGCTCTCCCAACTGAGCTACGGAACGAACCACCACACCTTACGAATTTTTGTATGTGTTAGTTGCAGATTTGTATTTTTGGTTTTGAAATGACTTTGCCGTAGCGCCATCTGTGAGAAATCTACGATAGTTTTTCTTCACTCAAACTTCCCCGTAGCATGGCTACGCATAGTCACAACGCGCGCGGTAAAATTGATTGGCTATCTAAATTAGATCAGCCCCCGTAGTATGGCTACGCATGATAAGACACGCGCGATAAAATTGAAATAAGCGCGCGCTATTGGATGTCTCAATCAGATCTAATTTAGGTAGCCAATAGGGCGCGCTTATTTCAATTTTATCGCGCGCGTAGCGATTAACATGCGTAGTCATGCTACGGGGGCAGGTATCTTTACATCATTGTCAATATTAAATCAGATATTTATAATGGGGCAATTTTCTTAGTAGGTTCATAACCCTTGGTAAACGCGGGAAGTCTCTAACACGCATTGGGCCAACGTGATAGGCTTTCGTCTAGACCCTCTGCTTTGAGGAGACCCGTGCCCAACAGTTGGAGGTATAATAACTTTATGATGATGAATCTTTTTATTGAGTCAAAGTATTTATTGTTTTCATAATATGTTGCACAATAATATCAACATTACCCTGTTAAAAAATACAACCATAAATGGATGTAAATGAAAATAAAGTAATTTAAATAAAATTGTAAAAGAGAAAGCTATAGTTAATTTAAAACAGAACATATAACATAATGGATGTGTGAGTATAATACATAGGTAGGTTAACTGCTTTTCAAAAAACTCTTTCAGATTAAGTATAATAATAACTCAGTAATTTTCAGGTTTTCTTTATCCAATATCGGTGGCAATGTTTATTCCATATTCAATATTACAAAGTATCATAGTGGGAAAATTATATATACTTTTGGTGATTTCAAAGATCCACAAAACTCAAAGTTATGACCCTTGTGTAGTGAAAAAAAGGAGATGCAATTTTGTGATTGTCCCTATGACACTGTAAAAACAACCTTTGCCAGTAGACAATTTAATAGACGTGCATCTTACCCATACACTAATATTAATAAAAATTTCTTAATTTAACCCTTTATAGACCCACGATTGCTAAAAAGTTGTGTATGACTGGCTGCACTTTAAATAATGAAGAAACTGAATCCATTATGGAAATCTTACAACAGATATACTGTACTCCTATATATTTTACAAATTTACGCAACACACACACACGCACACACACACACACACACACACACACACACACACACACACACACAC